CATGGGCCACATCCAGGACTCCCTGCCAGAAGTACAGTATTGGGCTCTGGGTGTGCAGGCCTTCCACTGCACCCTTGTTTCCACAGGCCTTACCTTCAGGGTCTCAATGCACTTTCCGCTGTTGCAGTCCCATACTTTGACCTGGAAATTAAAACAAGCAGAGGAGTAGGGAGGCCTCATAGGCAAGTCTGGCATCTTTGACAAAATCACCTTGGGGTGAGTCTCAGCCATCATCTTAACCTCTTGGTCTGAGTTTTGTCTGAAGTGTTTGGTCTTTGGTGGGTTTTTTTGTTTTGTTTTTTACGGGGGAGGTAGTTAGGTTTATATATTTACTTACTCAGTGGAGGTACTGGGGATTGAACCCAGGACCTTGTGCTTGCCAGGCGTGCACTCTACCACTGAGCTATACTCCACCCTCCTTGTCGGAGGTATTTTTGACAAGGGCTGCACTGGTGCAAAAAGGAAGTGCAGTACAATTTCCCTAAAGCTGAGACAGAAATGCTGGTGTCACTAACACTTAGGCCAGGGCAAACCTTAGTGCCAGGCATCAAGTACAGAAGTGGCTGGCATCTGGGTCTTGTCTTTGGCAGCCTCCTATTTAGGGCAAATAAGGATGTGGATATTTCTCATCATGGGTGCTAAGGACTCTGGTAGGGAGAATGTAGGGGTAGGAATTTGCCCGGAGGGAAGGCATGGTCTGGTGGGGTTACCGTGTGGGAGTAGCCAGCACTTGCCAGCTGCAGCCCATCAGGGGAGAAAGCTATGCTCTTCACCCAGGTGATGTGGCCCTTGAGCTGAACAAGCAGGCTTCTGGTTGAGGGCTTCCAGATGTGGATGGTCTTGTCCCAGGAGCCGGACGCCTGGAGAACAGGCAGCTCTTAAGCCCATAGATATGGGGCTTGCATACTCAGCCCCCAAAATGGCCCTTTACCCTCAGAGTCTTGCAGTCAGCAGTAAGGGGCCATCCTGGAACCCAGGGCAGCCCAGCTCACCAGTAGGCCAGATGCCGAGTAGCACAGACAGCTGATGTTGCCACTGTGGCCCTCCAGCTCCTGGTGGAAGAACGCTGGGGTCCCGGCCCTAAGGTCCCACATTCGGATGGTAGAATCCCAGGAGCCAGTGGCCTGCAGATAGCTGCCATGAGCATGGAGCCGGCTTGTGCTCACCCTCCTGGTTCCTTGGCCAGATGTACAGAAAGCAGGTACCACCTCACCCAGCCTTGCTGAACCCCCTATCTTAGGGAGGAGGGGACAGGCTCAGAAGAGCTAAGTCACCCAGTGGAGTTCTAACCACTGCTCAGCCCCAAGTGGATATGGGTTCCCAATTCCCTTATGGTCACTGAGGTGGGCCCTGGGCAGAGATTGTGTCTCACCAGGCAGTCGGAGCTGGGTGCGAAGTCACTGCTCTGGACAGAGTCTCAGTGTCCCACTAAGTGGCGCAGCACCTGGCCTGACTGGAGGAGAGCACGGCCTAGAAGCTGCAGTGTCAGGTTCTCGGTCTCAGACGGATCATAGGATTTGGGGAGGTCTCCTGGGCCATGACAGAGGAGGGCAGTCTAGGCAAGGGGAGCCTCATGGTAGAGGTCTTGAGGCACGGGAGCTGGGTGGGGGAGACTTGGGGAGGTAACTGGCCAGATGCAAGGAGGTGAGATGTCAGGTGTGGGTATGGGCAGTGGGGAAGATGGAACACCCTTTTTGGGACAAGTGTGCAAAGTATACACTGCCTCTGGATCCCAGATCTTGCTGTGGCCTTCCTCTACATACCTGCACCTCCTAGAGCATCACCGTCTTGTCCCAGCCACCTGATGCCAGCTGCTTTGAGTCAGGGCTGAAGCTGACAGTCTCCACACTCCGCTGGTGACCTGCAGGAACCAGCCCGGGGGGTGAGGTGGCACAGGACGCAGCAAGGCCCAAAAGGGATACCAGGCTTGGATGCTTGGCTCCCAGTCCCACCCAGCCCACTCACCTTTTAGGACCTGCAGACACTTGGTTTCTGCTACATCCCACAGGCGGATGGTACAGTCACAAGAGGTGCTGGCGAAGAGGCGGCCATCAGGGGAAAATCGGCAGAACTTAACGGGGCCTGGGGCAGGCAGCCATAGTGAGGGAATAGAGCACTGTTCCACCTCCGGCCTTTACAGTCTGACTCCTAATTCAGCCCTATACACTCTCTCCTCGCTTCCTTCTAACTCTCACCCTCCAGGAACCTGGGAATTCCTGGGCTCCCATCCCTTGGCCTGGAACATCCAACCCAGTTTGCCCATTTGGAAAATCAATACTCAAATCAAATGCAAGCACCTCCCAGAAACTCCTTGACAGCCCAACCTAGGTTTATTGCCCCCTTGGAGCTCCCCTGCCCCTGGGCTTACCCTATTACAGCATGAATCAGTCTGCCCTGTAATTACCAGGTTTCTTTTTCTTGTCTCCTTAATAACAGTTTACATTTACTGAGTCCTTACTGGGTGCCTTTGCTTGCATTCTCTTACCCTGTACGGTAGCAACTATTATCCCCATTCTAAAGAAGCTGAGAGGTGACATGATGTGGCTACGTTCACAGTTTAGAAAGTGGGTAGACAGATGAAACTTAACATTACGCTAAGTGAAGTCATTCACAAAATACTGTAAGATTCCACTTACACAAGGTGCTTAAGTCAAATTGGTGACAAAGAACAGTGGTTGCTGGAGGTGGGAGTGAGGAAAGGGAGAAATTAGTTCAATGGGTATAAAGTTTCAGTTTCACAAGATGAAGAGAGTTCTGAAAATTAGTGGCAAAGCTGTGTGAACGTTGAACTGTATTCTTAAAAATGGTTAAGATGGTATTACGTGTATTTTTAAACAATTTTTTTTCAAGTGATAGGATTTGAGTCCAGGTCTGTGAGAATCAGAGGCCCAGGGACCAGTTTGTGTCTTCTTGCCCTCTGACCTTAGCCCTGCCTAGGCTGTCTTGCTCGGATGCCCAGCTCAAAGTCAGGTCACTGAGGCAGGCTCTGCAGGATGCCAGAACAAGTCCATGGGCCTTGGTCTCCCCATTTAGGCTGACAAACCCCACCTGTATGGCCACCCAGTCTCCACAGCAGCCGCCCGCTCTGGGTCTCCCAGCCATACACACAGCCGTCCTCGGAGGCTGTGAGCAGCCTCTGGCCATCGGGAGAGAAGGCAGAGGAGTTGACCTGAAAGGAGAGCACAAAAGTCCTGTCCTAGGGCAGGAAACATCTGTCTGATCATCCCTGACCCCCGACTCCTGGTCCCAGCCCTAAACACTGCCCCAGTAGCCTGGAGTTGGAGCTTGGATTTCAGGCCTCACTCAACAACCAGAACCAAGGAACTTCTGCAGTAGAGCCAAGAGCTTGGAGCCCTTTCTGCAGCCCTATAAGACCTGAGCCTGAAGCTCAGAGCCCTCAATGAAGCCAGAAGCTGGAGCCTCCTCTAGGCACAAGAGCCCGTTGTGCAGCTGGAACCCAGAACTAGCTCAAAATCTACCGTAAACCAGAGTCCAAAGAACACTGGAACCAGCTTGAGTTTGAGCCCTCTCTGGAACCAGAGCTTAGAATTCTAGAGCCCATTCCGCAACTAGAGCCCAGGGAACGCTCGATCTTCCACTGCATAGAACCAGAAACCACTCTAGACCGAAAGCCAAGGACCTTGCCTAAAGTCTGGGCAGAGCACGACAGGGCCTCACCTTCCCGCGGTGCCGGTCGAAGAATTTCACTCTCCCCACGGCCAGCGTCCCAGGGGCCCCACTGTTCATGGGCCCGTGGCCCCCCGCCATGGCGGGGTGCCTCCTAGGCGGGCGCTGGTCTGGCCCGCGGGCCCCACTTAGGCCAAGGTGGAGGAGAAGGGGGAGAGACTGTGTATGAGCGGTCTCCATGGCAATCGGGGCGGGGCGCACAGCCGCTGTAGGGTCTCTGGAGAGCCACGAGGAGAAACAGTCAAGGAGAGACTGTTCCCATTCCGGGAGAAGTAGGTCAGCAGCAGGGTAAACCACGGGCGGCTCCGAGAAGGGACTTCTCTGCCCGGATCGCTGCCCGTCGAACCTTGGAGCCCCTGTGTCCCCGGGGAAAGGTGGCGCGCCCCGCGGCCGCTAGGGGGCACGCTAGCCCCGCGCTTCCGTCTCCCGCGGCACCGAACCCGTCCGTGCATAGTGCAGATCAGTTTGCGAAGGGCCCACAGACCCCTTTGAGACCATCCTGTTTCCCCATCTACACAAAGGAGAAGCTCATCCCTGCACTCCAGGCTCCAGGCTTGAGCCAAGCTCAGGGCCTGTCACATGGAGGGCCCACCCTGGAGCCAAGAACTCTTTCCTACAGGAATGGCCACTACTGAGGCTGAAGAGCTCCCATAGAGGGCTGGAAACCATATTCATCTCTACTCTCCAGGATGTGGAGCGCCAGAGGCAGTATAGAAAGCATAGAGCATTAAAAAGTAGGGTAACTTGTTAACATTCCTAGCAGCACAAAATGTGCCCTCTGAGGAGATGGAGTGAGGCCCTAGGAGCTGTCAAAATCTTTGTTGGATACTTCAAGCTGAAACCCAGAAAGAACAGGACTTGGTTTCAATGTCCACTTTTCAGATGAGAAAACTGAGGCTCCAGGAGGTGGGGGGCTTGCCTAAAGTCACTCAGCCAATAAGAAAGGAACTGAGACTTCATCCCATATCTCTCGACCCTGGGCCTATATTAGGACCACCTGCCATGAATTCCAGGGGCCTCACAGCATATGAGTCTCTGACTCCTGGTACATCAGGGAAACTGAGGCCCTGAGGGGGCAGATTTGGCCCAATCATCCAGCACATTCATGGCAAAGCTGGGGCCACGACCCAGTCCCCTCCCCACGGTGAGACAGGGGTAGGACTGAGACAATGTACTCCTCCACTGTCCAGTGGATTCCAGGCTCCCTGAGGGTGGGGCTGGGGCAGCTGGGCTTTGGGAGCTTCAAATTCAAGGGTTCCCAGTGTTGATTCACATCCCTCCCCCAGAAATCTTTGTTAGAAATTCTTCTCACGGAGATCTGCTGTGTTCCTGCTCTATTTTAGGTCCTAGACATTCAGGCGGGCGAGGGAGTGACAAGGGCGTCTTTGAGGCAGCCCCACCCCCATTCTAACTCCCAAAGAGCCCAGATCACTGAATTGGCTCCCTAGGGACCCATCTGATTTGGGCGTATAAGGCCAGCTCTAGACATTGGTCCCAGACATGGCTCCCCCATAGATGGTTCCCCAGGCCCTCTCCCCTGTTCCTATGCTTAGGCACCCCACAGCCCATGCCCCATTCAGCATTTCCCCAGCCACCTAGTTGTTCCTGCTCTACCTGAAGGGGCTAGACCCACCTTCCCCAGCCCAACCCATCATTCCCAGAGCCCTCTGGATAGACCTTGTCCGCCAGGCCCAGTGACCACTAAGACTGTAGGAGTGTTGGTGGGGTTAAAACGTTTCTGCTTGACCCAGAAGTCTGTGATTGGAACCACCTCCCATGAATTCTAGGGCCCTCAGGGACCAAATCATCGTGCCCACCTCTCCTGCTTCATCCTGCCCCTGCCACCTGCCCCACCTTGCTCCCTGAACTTGTCCACAAGAACTCTTCCATCTACTCTCCCACCCTGGGCCTGTGCACATGGGGTTTCTCACCCTCTTGGCCTGACACTTACCTTGGGATCTAGCTCCAATATCATTTCACTGAGGAGGCCTCCCCACCTCCCAGACTTAGTTAGAGCTCCTGCCTTAGAGATGGAGCAGTAAAGCCCCAAGTCTGGGTTAAAACTGGGTTCTGCCAACTACTAGCTCTACAACCTTGGGCAAGCTGCCTGATCACTCTGCCTCAGTTTCTTCATCTGTAAAATGGGGATGCTAACAGTGGTTGCCTTGTGAGGAGTTGGTGAGATGGTGCCTGTTAAGGGTAACTGGTATGCAGTAAGTGCTCAGAGAGTGTGTGGAGGGGGGCATGACATCCATCTCTGTCACTTTAGCTTGAAATACTTTAAGCTAAAGCTCTGAATGCCCAAGGGGTCCACAGGCTGGGTACACATCATGATGTAGAGAACACCTGGTAATCAGGAGCTGCCTGGCTTTATGCCCAGGGGAAACTGAGGGTATGGCCAATTCTGGGTTTGGGTGGGGGCTGCACCTGTAGGATGTGGTCCATGGCAGCAAGGGGAGGTGGGGGGATGAGTGGGTCACAGTCATGGAGGCAGCACAAGTAATTTACTGGCTCAGGCTCTGCCCATGGGATTGGGTGGCCCAGATTCTAGCCTCTCCAAGGGGGTCCTTGGGGAATGTTTTCCATCCCTTTACTATCTCTTTGTTCTCAAGAAGCCTGCCATGTTCTCTCCTCCCCGTAACCCAGAATGCCTGGGGAGGGGGCTCTGTATTGGACTTTCCTGCTCTCATTCCATGCCTTGAAGGTGACCCACAGTCCTGGGACCAGTTTGCCTCCCTTCATTTCCTCAAAGTACCTGGCTTTGCAGGCTCCTTGGTTCCTTTTGAAACTGCCATAGGTACACAGTCATCTTAAAGAGAAAACTGGATATTCATAGAGGGAAATGACTTGCTTAAGGTCACACAGCTAGAAAGTAGTAGAGCTGAGATTCAAACCCATGTCCAATAACCCACAAGCCCCTGGTTCATTCCTTGCACCAGACACTCTTTCAATACATCCTGGGGAGATTGAGTATGAGCCTCGACCTCACCCCCACCACACACCCTTCACCCTTGTAAATGGGATTTTACTACTCTGCAGGACAGACCATCACATCAAGCTGTTGGAAAGTCCTGGGTGAATCAGAATCTGCCTTGTACTGTCCAAAAGAGTAGAAGATGAACCCATCATGCATGCCTGCAATCTCACCCCAAGGGACATATCCAGCACTGTTTGTAGTTCTGAAAGGCTGGAAATAACCTGAATAGTTGAAGACTAGAAATAAGCAATTATATAGTCAAACAATGAAAGCTACAAAGCCAAGGAAATGAACAAACTACAGCTCTGCATATCAACATGCAAACATCTCACAAAATTCTCAGCAAAAAAGCAACATGGCAGAAGACACTACAAGTATGATCCCCCTCATATAAAAATCAAGACATGCCAAAGGCAGCCCTCCATTTCTCAGACATATATCCATATGTGCTGAAACTATAAAGAAAGGCAGGGATGAATAACTCCTAAACCACCAGAGGGATTAACTATGGGGAGAGGAAGGGAGGGGACTCAGGGGGTCATAAAGAGTACTTGTTCCTGGTGATATTTGGGCTTGAAGCTGGGCAGTGGGCTGCCAGCTGTTTGTTGGATTATTCTTTAGTGACTGGCCCTGCCTACCTGGCCCCTGCTCACCTCTCTTGCCCTCTTCTGGCTTCATCCCTCCTCACTCTCCCACTCCTTGTCCCCATCACCCATAGTCCTGAGCAGTCTAGTGGATTATGCAGTGATGGGGCTAGGATGCACTTCTGACAGTGCCCCCAGGGAGCAGAGGAAACTTTTGTAGCAAGAGAGCG